AGCGGTCTGATTCGTAGTTCCTTAGAAAATTCTAAAACTTATATCGTTATTCTATATTTTTATAGTGAAGAAGCCGTGCGCAATGATTACAGTAAGCATATTTATATGTAACACATGTGTGTCTGAAAACGAACGAACTACTTCTTTCTTCCGGTTCCATTCATGTTTTCGCGCCCTGCCTTTCATGCGCCCTCCCGCCTGCGTATCACTGCGTACCATACACAATGATAAACGGCGTATTGATAAAGTAGGTTGTGAATGACCGGAATTAGATCAAAGGTCAGCATCATATCTAGCATACTTATTACCTTATCCAGAAAATCATCATTGCTGAAAGACAGTCATCGTTCTTTATAAAAAACCTTGTAAACTGTCTAAGGGTACCACAACGTATTCGTGTTCTGATTATCAAACTGTCACTGAGGACAGATTTCCAGCCAACTTGATGACCAAAGTAATTCGACACCGGCGCCTGTAGAGGGGGCTTCAAAAGGGTGAAGAGTAGTTCAGCAGAGCGTTAGAAGTGCCAAAATTTCAATTTATTCCACAGTGCACGAGTGAACTGCTGGGGCATCCTGTTGTACAGTTTATCCTGCTGATAATTAGTTTGCATAGTATTATTGTATGCGCTTGTTCAAAACGCTTGCAAAACGGAGCAGGGCAGAATTTAATGTATCAGTAAGGGGTAGTCGGCCACGTGTAATGTAAAGCCAAAGTGTCTGGGAAGGACTTAGCTAGAAAAAATGTGAACGTATACGTGTATGTATGTGTGCGTCACTAAATGTGCGCAAAAAAGCCGCCTCAGTGAGGACTCGAACCTTGCAATGTTAGTGGAGCACGAGGACCGGCATCCGCCCCAAAATTCGAAAATTCAAAAGGTTTCCCGTGTTTTTTTTTGTCGTAAGTCAGTCAAGAACCGGGCACTCTAGAGGCAGAAGATAGCGCTGAACTCGGCTCTTCATGCTCAAGACGATGCTCTAAAATTTCGGGAAGGCTTCATCCCGGAATTTGCTATGCGCTCGAGTTCCATCTCAAGAGCCGAGTTTGTACGCCGCGCATACGTTTATCATTGTGTATGGTACGCAGTGATACGCAGGCGGGAGGGCGCATGAAAGACAGGGCGCGAAAACATGAATGGAACCGGAAGAAAGAAGTAGTTCGTTCGTTTTCAGAGGAGAACAACTCACGCTCATTGCTTCTCGCAGAACTCCCACTAGCCCCCTCTCGCCTGCCGGATTGAGGAATGCTGCAGCAGTGAGTAAGTGGAAATAACTATAGTCTTCTTTGAGGAGCTCAATAGGACTACATTAGCATCTTGCGCACGGCTTCTTCTCTACAAAAATATAGAATAACATTTAAGTTTTAGAATTTTCTAAGGAACCACGAATCAGACAGCCACGAAACTTTGGCTTTAGATTACCCGTGGCCGACTACCCCTTACTGCTACATTAAATTCTGCCCTGCTCCGTTTTGCGGAGCAGAACAGTCCACAATCAATTATACGGCGCGTAATCGAGTTGGTCATCAATTGCTTGGTTTAATTACCCAAGTTTGAGGTACTAATAAGATACGACATGAATAAGATGAGATAGGATAAGATAAGATTCAATTCGAAGTCAGTGAAATCTTGGGAGATTTTTGTAAATGAAGGAAATAAGTAATGGAAAATGTGGCATCGACGTTCGAGCCGCTCTCAGTTGTCGATTCCAATACCCGACATTGTCATGGCATAAAGCAACCAACTGCATTATAAGCGACTGTTCAGTTGCTTGATATACGGCGCAGAA